CGAGTTGCCAGCCACAGGGAACCAATAAACTGAAAACACTCGAAGCAAAGACAAATCACGTATGGCGCCCTTCACGCATCTAAAGAAAGTGCTTCTTCTGAAGTCGCTTATTGGAGCCAGGAGAAGACGACAGAATATGCAAGCAATGATGATTAATTTGATGAACAGAAGACGGTGTAGGCTTTTGCGGATTCTTTTTTTGCTACAGTTGATTCTTACTGGTTTACAACAAGCAGTTGCAGTGCCTATTAGGCCTAGGATAAGATCATGCCGTAGGTTGCTGCGAAACACTGGTTGGTGGAACCTCGTTTGGACAGTATATTCCGAGAAAAGGTTTAAAAAGACATTTAGAATGACTAGGCAAACATTTTCCTTAATTCATGATAGAATCAAGGATGATTTAACGAAGGAGAGCGTCACAGAAGAACCAATTCCATCCCAGATGAGACTAGCAATTTGCTTGTATCGACTCAGTAGAGGAGACTACTACAATACCATTTCAGAGCTAGCTGGTGTCGGTGAAACAACTGTGTGCAACATAGTGAGAGAGGTAGCTAAGGCAACCATTGAAAATTTATGGGAAGAATTTGTTGAGGCCAAATTTCCACATAGCAAGGACACGCTGAATGAGAAAATGAAAGAAATGGAACAAGAATGGCAGTTTCCTTTTGCATATTCTGCAATTGATGGGTGTCACATACCAATTAAGTGCCCACCTGGTGGCCAAGAGTCATGTAAAGAATTTCATAATTTTAAGAATTTCTACTCAATCGTTCTAATGGGAATGGTAGATGCCAAATATCGATTTATATGGGCAAGTGCTGGTTGGCCTGGCAATTCACATGATGCCATAATCTTTCAAGCAACAAACCTTTATACCAAACTAGCTGAAGGTACAGCCTTTCCACCTATTGCCCATCATGAGAATGGCGTCAGTATTCCACCTTTAATCCTGGGAGATTCTGCCTTCCCCTTCAAGCCTTGGCTGCTGAAGCCTTACACAAATGCTACACTGATGCCAGAGCAGAGCTATTTCAATTATAGGTTGAGTCGTGCACGCATGGTAACAGAGTGTGCATATGGACAACTGAAAGGTCGATGGAGAGTCTTGCTCAGGAAGTCTGAGAATGATAAGGAAACAGTACGTGCAGTTACACTAGCTTGTGTAGTACTACATAACATTTGCATCGAACAAGGAGATTTGGCTCAAAGGCAATGGGACCTCTCCAAAGATTCAGCATCAAATCAAAGACGTACACAAGAAGAAGTCCAAGAGCTTCTTATGATAAGGCAATGCAGACCTCTAAGAGATACAAATCGTTCTGCAGCACAGGTTCGTGATTATTTGAAAGACAAGTTATTTTTAGAAAAGCAGCAAGTTTAGGGGATGCAAAGCTCCCATACTTTCAATACTCTCCCTCCCTTAATAGTATCCCCCCTAACTCCAAAATTTTACAAAATTACCATCTATTTTCATTTATTAAAACCCCCCTAAAAAGGAAAAAAATGCTTTTTTCCATCCACCCCCATTTATTAGACAACACCCCAAAGGCTTTTGGCAGCTATTTTTGATATTTTGCAAGATTCAAGGGGCTATTAGAAGCACTGATTGGCTTTTACCCCATTTGAGAGCAGAACGCTGATAGGTTGTTTACATTTTTCCTCCTTGTTATATGAATTGGTATAGTATCTTTTAGTATCGAAATATCTTTTCAACAAAATGTAAAAAAGTTAATGTTACCCCCCAACTATTAACATCACACCCCTATTTAAGCGCTGCATGACAAAATCAACCCATTTCCATTTATTAACACCCTCCACAATTATTTATCCTGGGCAAATTTCCAACTGCCTCTTTTTAATAAGTCCCCCCTACTATTAGGGGATGGAGAGTAAGCTGCATCAGCTTTGGAAAACTGACAAAGTTTCAATTATAATTCTTGACAATTGTGATTTCTGGAGCCACTTTGACACTATTTATACACTACTTATGTTCTTATGTTGTACATTGTAGTTTGTATTAAATAATGTTTCTTATGTAATTACTTGTAGATTGGATTTAGGATTAATTGATAGATGAATGGAAACTGAAACTGAAAACTGAAACTGAAATATGATGTGATTCTAAATGTTTATAGCTGAAATAAATCATCTGACTGGGATTGATGTTCAAAGTTTTGATTCCTTGGAGGATAATTATCTTGTGGAGTAAATGCTTGTCGAAATTGTTGTCTTGGATCCATATTGTATGACTGCTGCATGTTTTGGGGGAAATGTTGATAAGAAGGAGGCTGTGGAACTGGTGGTTGGAATTGCTGCTGTGCTTGATTTCCATTGAACATCATTGTGAGTAATCTCATTTCATGTTCTCTTGATCTTTGATTCTCTCTCTCAAGAAATGCTAGCATGTCAGCCATTGGGTCCTTTTTTAGCTGCTCAGTGACCTCAAGGATTGCTTTTGATGTTATTTTTACCAGATTATCAAGCTTTTCCTTTTTTCCAGCTGCCTTTTTGATGGGAACAAATGGCCTCTTCTTTGAAGGAAGATTTGCTCTTGTGGGAGTTGAAGTTCCTGAGGAGGTCTCTGGTGAAGGACCTTGGCCAAACTCATTGTTGTTGTAGCCCCCTCTTCATTTACATGATTCACTTCAGTTGAGGTTGGACTTCCTTCTTGACTGTCATGTGAACAAGTTGATGGTTCAATGGCCTGCTCTGGCTGACAAGATTCTCTGGACTTGACAAGAGGCAGCAGTTGATTAAACCATTTTCCATAGTCCCTGTCCTCCTGAAATCGCTTTATGCCAGATGCAGATTTGCAGGTTAAGGCAGCCTTCTTGCACTCACTCATGCACTTCTTGAACTTATTTCTAGTTTGGACAAGGCTGAACTTGTATTCTTCTCTCCTAGCCTGGCAACGTTTCTCCACCTCTTTGATCACCTCAAAATGTAAACACAAAAGTTGCAAAAGGAATCAGCATTTTAAGTAAAGTAAGACAATTTGTTCCACAAAGAGTATTGCTAAACATATACAATGCATTTGTACTACCAAATATTCTTTACGGTCTTTTAAATTGGGGAAATGCATCTAAAACCACTCTTGACCCAATTAATAAAAGAATAAAAAAGCCATAAGATTAATAACATTTAAAAGTAAAACTGAGCACAGTGAACCTCTTTTCAAATATCTAAACCCTCTTGATCTTGAAGATTGTTATAAATTCAAATGTGCTAAAATTATGTACAATTTAAATAGTAACATTTATAATACTACTTTTGGGAAATTATTAAAAAAAATCCAAAGACATTCATAACTTTAAAACAAGGCATGCTACATCAGGGAAATTTTTCAAACCATCCTTTACAACAAGCTATGGTAAAGGTTCTATAACAAATTCTGGTGTTGATATTTGGAATTCCATTCCAAAAGATAGAAATTCCTGATTTCAAAATACTAGAACCTATGAGTTATATATCGATCAAATTCATGTAACTAAAATGGCTCATGGCTCGAAAGCCCTCTCTGGGTTATTTCCATGAGTCATTCAGCTTTGTTTATTACATGAGTTGTTAAAATAATTATAATATTGTAATATCACGCTGAGAATACACAAAAAATTCAAATTACCTTCAAATAAATTTCTCCGTTCTTGCTAGTCTTTGTGTTTGTAAAAATCAGTTTTTTGCGAAAATACTCATTATCGCAGATAACGTCCACTAGGTTGTTTGTTATGTCCATTGGCCACGATGACTTCTTCACGGCCTTTTTCTTTCGCTTTTCAAACAACACATTACATGCCTCTTCCGCTTCACTTTCTGACCCAAAACTCCCTCTTTCGTCCTCATTAAAAATTTCGGATTCCACGCCAGCTTCCTCACTTTCGCTGCCGCAATCCACGCTATTGCTTACATACACGTCTGTTTCTGCCATTTTCCTTCAGAGATGAATACAAGAAGCAAGAACAACCCAACTATACTTTGGCGCCAACAAAAACTTAGCACCACTGCGCTTGCGCAACTAATGTATTTGACGAACTGGAAAAAACACTATTTGATTCAAGTCATCAAAAGCGCGACGTCTAAAGCCAACTCGCGCTTTGGTCGTGTAGCACGGCTGACCATGACGAACTTGAGTCGCACCTAGCATTTGTATCGAGCTAAATTGCAAATTGGATTTATACGCCGTGCTAATGTTGAATCTAATCGATACTTAGATTTTGAAGAGGCAAAGTATTTCATTCGGTGCGAGATAAGCGCGACGTATAAATCAGCCCTAAATTGAAGTATAAAATTGAATTAAAAGCCATGAAGCCTTGACCTTGATGAACTGGGAGGCCAAGAGAAAAAATTAGTAATTTTGGGGGGCTTGTCCAATTTCTCTCCCTCAAGCGAAAATTTTTGTTATTTAATGCCCTATTTTGCAAGCTTCATTAACATATCCTGCATCAACAACCTGCACCTGTATTTTTAATTATTTTTCAAAATTTGATAGTTTTTTAACATATTCCTCAAATTTTATGTGACAGAAAAGAGTGAAAGGGTGGGCCATTGTCAGATGTGAGTGTTTCTGGTTTACCATGTGTAGCGAAGATGTTGTCCAGCTTTGGTATAACGGTTGAAGCTTTTGTGGATTGCACAAATTCTACGTCAGAATATCATGACTATCTGTCTACAACAACAAGCAAGTACTCTCCATATGGCAATGGTCCGTAGAAATCTACATGAAGTTTCTGCCATGGGCCTTGTGGCTTTTCAGTCATCTGTAAAAGCTCTGGTGGATTGATCGGGGTACACAATGATCAATTGTTTCTCTTACCAGCTTATCAATATCTGGAAACCAAAACTTTTTCTCGAAGCAATGTTTCGGTCTTGGATAGGCCTCTATGAGTGGTATCTGCAAGGTCTATTGCTTTTTTTTGAAGTGATTGTGGAATGGCAATTGTGGTATATATGATTTCCAATGGTTTGTGATCTGTGATCAGTTTAAATGGTTTTTCAAAAATAAACAAATGAAAATGCTCTACCGCCCAGGTCATTCCTAGAAAACTTCACACTTGTACATCTTGCAGGTCTTAAATATTCTTTGGATCTGGTCGTGTACCAGCAGCTGAAAAAATCTGCCAAAGAAGGACAATGATTTCAATAAAAACTTGCATTTAGTTGCATTCAAAGTGAGACCTTTATCTGATAGTTTCTGCAGGCAGTCATTGAGTGCTCTATCGTGATTTGATGGTCTACTCCAAAGACAATATTGTCATCTAGGCTATATTGCAAACTCCTTTTATTCCCTGTAAGACCGTTGGAAGATCTCTGCAGCTGCGTTTGTGCCATAGTTTAGTCTTTTGTACCGAAACAGGCCCACATGTGTACTTAATGTTGTAATATAGCACCTTTTTTCGTGTAATTGAAGCTGATGATATCCCTGAGACCTGTCAAATTTTGAAAACACTTTTGATCTAGTTAACTTTAGATTAATATAATCTACTTTAGGAAAGAGGTACCTGGTTCTCTTGATTGCTTGATTTGGCCATAGTCAATAGAATAGTGACTGGCCTGTAAGCCTATTGTATTATCTTATTGTTCAAAAGCGCATAGGTCAGGTGCTGATATGGGTGCAAGGCAACGCACAGGGCACATAACAATGCATAGTGAAACAGCTTGCAAATTTTTGAAATTGATCGAGACGAGAAGGGATTTTTGCATGCGATGCGATCATGCATGCGATGCAATTCAGCATGCGATCAAGTGAGCGATATGTTTTGTGGAGGAAGGCTGTGTTTGATGTCTTAACCAAGTACCACGAAGAAGATTCCAACTTCAAGCAGCTGATGGCATCAGGAAATGTATGGACATGCGAGAGGCACTAAAAATTGGAGGATATTGAGATCACAAGTAGGTCTGGTGTGACTAAGAATAAGTCTGGTGTGACGCTTCTACTTAGACAAAAAACAAATGCACAACCCGTCTGCTTTGCTAAGGCCAAATTAGAACGCAGCAATTTAATTTTTCAAATCATTTTTTTACTGTAAACTTTAGAAAAAATTTGTAAGTTATCCATATATACGACGTAACAATAAGCTTAGTTATTTAAATTATTCAAAAGAAAGTCTTTCTGTTTCCCAAAAAGCTCTTTGAGGAAGTTTGAATTGGTAATTGGCAACAATCTGACATATACCTTACTCATCTATGGTTGGCTGCTGCTACAAATTCATTCAATTTACACTGAATCTGAACAAAATGTGAAAAGTACTACTGTCTCAGAGCTGAGTCGAAAGATTGAGCAGCATAAGATATACAGAGGCATTGCAAAAACTCCTTCCATTCCTTACAAAGTCAGTTTGCAAAAAAATCCAGATAGAGCCATCATACAGCCTGTTTTCTAAAACAGCCTAAAGATAAAACATTCTCTTGACTTTAATTCTTCTCATGCCTCTCCCACTCATTTGGTCATCAGTACTCTCCTTTCCCTGACACTAATTTTTCCAGGCCATTTGTTGTAGCATAAAATATAGCATAGGCCAGAACCAGTTGTAGCATGAGTTTTATCTTGCCCAACAATAAGTGGTAAAGGAACCTGATCTACAATGAACTGGTTTCCTGGAAGCCATCTGCCATATTTTTCATTAAAGCTACCACCCCTCCTTCTTTTGCCAAGGACAGCTTTTCTTAGATTCCTTTGATTTTTATTCCTCATAATTGACTTCCATTTACAACAATCAGTTGAGAAAACCCCATTGTTGTGGAAGTTGCGCACCAGTAAAGATGGTTTCTAATTCCAGTCATGCAATCTTTAATAATGTCGCATCCCTTTTCTTTTGAAGCTTCAATAGCTCTATACATAAACTTCTGGTAATGTGTCAAATGTCAAAGAAATGCTGTATTTCTGGATGCTTTTTCCTCATCCACTTTGCCAATTCTTTATGTCGATCAGTTATTAGTGCCTTGGTTAGCACGGAATTTTTTTCAATATATGCAATATATATCTTTGCTCCATCAAGCTCAATTTTTGTGTGGCTTCCCGACTGATTAAACTGCAAGGCAAAATATAATATATTAAGCCAGAACATTACACATTACCAACAAACAATTCCCTTGAATTGTAGAGGTCAAAGACGATTATATCAACAAGTCTGTATGTTTTAAGATATAAGGCCCAGGTTAAACGTCGTGCTTCTCATGTGCCGAACCTAATACAATTGAGTTCACCAGAAGCGCGACGTTAGCGCGGCCACCAAGTTAAACGTCGAACCATGGTCGAACCTAATGCGCAGAAAATTACGGTCGGGGCGGTATCCAAGCAACAGCCATCGATTAAAGATCAACATAATTTTTCAAAATGGCCTTAACTCGCAGAGCGAAAACCTTACTGTTGAAAAGTTTAATTTCAAAGCGTCGTAAGCGTCGAAATTTGTTGATTAAAGGAATGGCCATTATTCTACAACAGAGGCTACTGACATTGAGGTCGTTTCTGCTGGCAGCTACGTATTTATTTGGCGAGTTGACAACATCACGGGCTAGGGTTAGGTCATGCAGAAGGTTGCCAAGAAATACAGGTTGGTGGGAGAAACTGTGGTTTACCTACGACGATAAACGATTCAAGCAAACACTAAGAGTATCAAGATCGACATTTGAATTTATACTGACAAGAATAAGACCGCAACTTGAGAGACAAACGCTTACTGAAGAACCCATCTCTCCAGAACTTCGTTTGGCAATCTGTCTCTATCGTCTTGGTAGAGGGGATTATCTTTACAGCATAGGGGAAATGGTAGGCCTAGCACGTTCAACAGTCACAAGGATTGTCAACGGTCACCCAAGTAATTGTTTTCTGTCTTTGGGACAATTCGTATCTTAATAATAGTGCCAAAAACTTGTAAGATGAATTCCAGAGCAAGATAAGAGCTTTGGCAGTTTCCCTGTAGTTGGGCAGCTGTTGATGGATGCCACATCCCCATTAAATGCCCACCTGGTGGCCAAAGTTCTCGAAAAGAATATCACAATTTCAAGAACTTCTATTCAATTGTTTTAATGGCATTAGTGGATGCCAAATATCGTTTCATTTGGGGAAGTTGTGGCTTCCCTGGGAATTCCCATGACTCAATCATTTTGCAATCAACCTCTTTGTGGAAGAAGATAAAAGATGGAAAAATGATTCAAGAGATCTGCCAACAAATAAATGCTGTTAAAATCCCCCCTCTTATTCTTGGAGATTCTGCCTTCCCCTTTGAATCATTTTTAATGAAACCTTACACCAATGCTGTTTTGACAAAAGAACAACGCTATTTCAACTACAGACTGAGTCGTGCCCGTATGGTCATTGAGGGAGCATTTGGCCAGCTTAAAGGAAGATGGCGGTTCTTGTTGCGAAAGTCTGAGGGCAATGTCTACGAAATCAAAGTTGCTACCTTAGCCTGTTTAGTTTTACATAATATTTGCCTTGATTGTGAAGACACTCTGCCTTCAAAGCTTGATGTATCAATTGACCCACAAAGCAGTCAAAGAAGAGACAGAGCAACAATCCGTGACCTTCTTCTCATGAGTACCAGCAGAAAGATTTTTGATGCACGTGATAACAAGGCAGTTCAAATAAGGAAGACTCTTGAGTCCAAATTGGCAAAAGAATTAGCTGAGACTTCTAAGAAATGATCATAGATGAAAACACAGAGTTGAACACAGTGACTTTTCATTATTCTTTGTTAACAGTTATGGTTCCAATTTGACTTTTAAGATATTAACCTTTAAGATATTAACTTTTAAGAGTATTTTGTTAGATAATAAAGTTTTCATAACTCAACTCACAATTTCGTGAAAGTTTTCTCAGATGTCTCATTGACACTATTCAGTTCTTGCATGAAGCTGTTATAAGCAGAACTGCTGCCAGCCATGTGATTCATGGTATTATGATCATGAGGATGTTGCTGGATGACTGGATTCATGTTGCTGTAATTCAGAAATTGCTGCTGCTGTGGTGGCATCGTTTGTTGGTTCATGATCAAAGAAATCACTGCAAGTTCGTGTTTCCTTTCTCTTTCCTCTTGTTCCCTCATGAATTTCAAAAAATCACTCATTGGGTCTTTTTCAGCAATGTTTTTCATAAGGCCCAGCATCTCCTTGAATTGCTGTTCCTTTGGGGGGACCCTTTTTGGTGCCCTTCATGACTGGGATGAAAAATTCTGGTGTTGATTCAGCTGGAGCAACACACTCACTTGTGGAATCAAAAGATCGCTCACTTGGTTCAATGGCTTGTTCCGGCTGGCAGCTTTCTCTTGTTTTCACCAGCTCTAGCAGCTGATTGAACCAAACTCCGTAATTCTTTTCTTCTTGGAATCTCTTTATTCCACTTGCAGTTTTCATTACAAGTGCTGCTTTCTTGCACTCCCCAACTACCTTCTTAAATTTATTACGGAGCTGGATTACAGTGTAGTTGCAATTCTCATTTCTAGCATGAACACGCTTTTTAAGTTCTTTTAAAATGTTCCCATATATTTCACCATTTTTTTGATTTTTGCCATTCTGGAAAATTAGTTTTTTCTTGAAATATTCATTGGATACAATGATATCAATAAAGTCAGGCCAACTTGTCTTTCTGCCAGATTTCTTTTCTTTCTTTCTTTTTTTTAATGGTGGCCCATCAGCATTACTCTCATTCCCACTTTCAAAATCTGCTTCCTCATCTTCTTTGTTACTGTTAGGACTAAAAGCAGAAACATAAAAGTGGTAGGCAAGCAAAGTAGTAGTAATTTTTAATGATAAGCTTGTAATTTGGCCTATTCAAGAATAAGAACCAGGAACCCACTAAACTAATATTTATTCAGAAAAGGCTTGAATATGAAATACATACCTTGATGGTAATATCAATTCAACTTTTGATGACTCAAACTGTTGCACCTTACAAACAGAACAGTAGCCTACACTCCGGCATGGAATCCAACCTTGGGTTTCTTCATCTAACTCCTCCAAACAACAAACTGTACAGACTGGTACCCCGCAAGTTATGCAGATATATTTAGTCTGCTTCATACATGATTCGCAATTGTCTATGTTTCGTGAATTTGATGCCATGATCGTTATACTGAATATGAATTGAATAAACTTCTAAATTTCCAAGAACACGAGTGAAAGTGAAGTGAACGATGACTCGTCGGAATGGCGTAAGTTTGTCGTTGGCGCCTTTTTCCTATCTCATCTGCGCATGCCTAATCTCGTTTTAACGTTCAAAATAATTAAAAATAATTTATGCGTTAGGTTCGGCACATGAGAAGCACGACGTTTAACTTGGTGTCGTGCTACTGCCGTGCGGCATGGCAGAACAAGTCGAGCCAGAGACGTTCTGTCGAACTTAATCGATTCTGTCAAACTTAATTAAGTTAAACGTCGAGCTTCTCATGTACTTAATTCAGCAATTAGGTTCGGCGCATGAGAAGCACGACGTTTAACCTGGGCCTAAGAATACCATGGCTTTAGAAGTTGAAATTTGAAAATACCACCTTGAAGTGTCAATCATCCTGTGACTTGCAGATAGTTAGGAAATGGTATTGATAATGAACAATGTTTACAATATGTGAAAACTGTACCTGAAGAAGTTCAATGTGGGCTATTTTTGAAATGTTGTTGTTATAAAGAGAATATGTGCCATACTTGGCACTATGATTCATGGAACCAAATCTTCGATCTCCACTCCATGTACTACCATCCACTTTTTTTGTTTGAGCAAGTTGTCTTGATAAGCTTTCAATACCTTCTGTATCGTTGGGAAGTGGAACTTTCTTTGGTAGTAACAAAACATTCTCCTTGAAATAGAAGGTAATCAAGGTTTGGTTGATTTCGACTCCTGACATCAGCACACCAAAACTTGTCATAATATCTCCTGCAGGATACTTCCCAAGGACTAGTGGGTGACTGCGCCAAATGCACTTCTGTAGAGGTCCACAGGTTTTGCATGCTTGGAGAATTGTTATCATTCATCCGCAAATGGTTCCCTCTGCACATGACTTGGGGACACAGCAATGAAAACAAAACATAGTGGAAAGACTAAACAATGCTTTATAAAACACAATAAACATGGGCTCATCCTCTGGCAACGTTTGTCGGTTCACACTAAAATCAAAAGGAAAAACAGATGCTGGGCTGTAGAAATATAAATTGTCCTTGAATGTTAAATTATGAAATCACTTTATCTTAACTTGCTGAGGGTAGTTTTGAGATGGGGGATGAATTTCATATACTTGTTACTTATTTTGACACACAGATTCTTTTGAATAGCATGGCTGGTTCTATGCATCTGCCTTGAAGACTGCAAATGTATCCCATTCAGACATGTAAAAATTTTTGCAATCTGAAATATCACATTTTTTGAGTTCTGCATTAATATTATACAATTAAAGGCAAATATTTTAGTGCTCCAACTGGATATGGTAAATCATTCGTTTTTCAAGCCATCCCTTTCGTTGAAGACTATTTGCTAGATCAAAATCTAATATCCAGCTGTATTCTGGTTGTTTCAACGCTGCAATCATTAATGCTTGACCAGTGTTCAGGGTTGAAACCAGATGAAATATATTGAGATCAGACAGAAGAGGTTGTGAACAGTATTTTGAAAGACAATAAATATGGCTGAGATTTCACTTGCATTTTTACTTCACCTGATTTAATGCTAGCTTCCTAAAGTGACGTACATTTCTCATGTCTACATATTTCCAGAAACTACATGTTTCTGATGTGTTGCAGTTTCATTTGACGATGCACATTGTATTGCACAGTGGTATATACCAAAATTTTTTTGTCAAAAATCATGAGAAGAAAAATTGCAGTTATTATGCCAATTTAAAAGTAGCCTAGTGCGCTTTAGTTATAATTAAAGTAGTAATTAAATTGAATATAACTACCATGCCTACCATGTATACCTTTTAATTATTAATGTTCTTTGTCCTTTGCCATCGTTTGTGATTTTATGGATAGGTATTGAAAATGTGCACGATTTTGATACTTATGAAAATATACGAAACATTGTACTCTTGCCTACAAAAGCAAAATCTATCAGCAAAGTTTGTTTACTGAAAAAAACTTGTTAATGGATACTTGATTCAAATAAAATATGCCTAAAAATGCAGATGCAGTCCCTATATTTCTGTACACCACAATATAATATTAACATGGCTAGATGAATAAAATGCCTGCATTTCTACCTGATATGCAAAAATAACTTGTTTACCAAACACAAAGATTGATTGTGTCAAGCTACTGAGCACCGTGATTAGAGAAAAAACATGCTTTGAAGCAATGTAGTTCTGAAAATGTGTTTATTCAAGAATTTCTAAAAAATCCTGTAGAAACAAACATTGCTTTATTTAGGTTTTTATAGGCAGCTCATAAATTCAGTGAAAATTCAGCTTGAATCCATATTCAAATCAAATCTTTTTGCAACTGTCATTTTTAAACTGAGAGGCAATAAACAATTTATCACATTTCAGAGCAAATCATCAAAGTTCTTCAGTCCTTATGTATCTAACAGTACAGCATATTTTGTTTAGGTAGCTTGTAAACGGCTCAATTTAGATGTTCAGTATATGAAATTAACTAAATACTGTATTTAATTTTTCTTTATTTGGCAGGGGCCTAACTGCAACACAAGGAACTCCTTTCAGGAAATGGTTTGGATTAGTTGGAGAGTTTAGAGCACTTCTTGGTCCATGTGTTAAAATTGCTGTTTTCACTGCAACAGCATCAAGTCTAACAAGGCATTGAATGGAAACCTCCTGCTAATTCAGGAAATGACAACTTTCCATTAATGTCATCTTAGTGAATTTTAGTCTAACCATGTTATTTAACTTTATGATTTAAGAATTCCCATCAATTTTAAATAATTTCTGAAATTGGCTGTTCTTATCCTATAATTGTCAAACCAGGAAGTCCTCTTCAATAGCACCTGTCTATTGCAAGGAAACATAAAATAAAAAACCAATGTAAGAAACGTGCTTTAGAAACTTCAAACAGACTTCAGACTCTGGTGAAAGCATTTAGTACATTACTAAAAAGGCAGTTTTCTAGTTTAGGAGATTTAAGATGGCAGAACAACTTTCAAAACTGACAAGTATACAAAACAACCGAAAATATTGCTGTGACCCATTCCAAGTGCATAAAACCAAAAGAACAAAAGCTAATTGTAAAAGCTAATTGCAAAATTTCGCAGCACTAATAGTAGAAGTGAAAAGATAACAATTTTGACTATTTTTGTGCAAACATGGAGTCAAAGGAAAATAATGGGGCTGCTTTCAAAGAATGGCTACACAAGCAATGCATTTATCATTGGAAAAAGTCATCCTTGCTACCCCAAATCCAAAAACTGAAAAAAAAGTTGCCAGAGAATGTTTCAGAGGCTGTAGAGAACTTCTATCGGCAAGATGATATCAGCAGAGTTATGCCTGGAAAAAAGGACTGTCTAAGTATTCTCAAGACAATGTATTTGGTGACCTACCACCAGATGAGTTACATGAAGCAAGAAACGTAGCAACAGAAGATGCTGAAGATGAACTAGAAGATAATTGGTTAGCAGTAAGAGATGACAGTGAAATTAATATTCTAGATGATACAGATCAGCTTCAAGATATGGCTGTAGTAATGGATGCACTGGACAAATCTGGACACATCAATCGATCATTAAGTGATATCCTAAACTATGATAATATAAAACCAACAATTTATGATGAAGTAGACAAGCCACAGAGTGTTAAGTACTGTTTATAGGCTATACATGCTTTTATTTCACTTTTTTCATTGGAGGGTAATTAAATTGTTTCACCACAAATGAGAAAACAGCAGAAAAATAACAGTTCCTTTATATATTAGAAAATGCTAATTTATGCTAGGTAACTATCCATGTATTGTGTTTACAGTGATAAAGCCGGATGAATTTTTGTTTGCTTTCGATTAGTAGACATTAAGAAAATTTCCAGGTACTAAGATTTCTACATGATATATACAAAAACAAAACTTTTATACTGAAAAATACCCAACCAAAACATGAATTGATCGTTCACTCTTCTCTTGATATTGCTATTCATATCGATATGTTATTTATTGAATATAACTGAACCATTCTTTACCTATCTGGCAACCTTTTGAAGTCTGAAATACTCCTTCTGTTCTTGAATCCACTTGTAGATTTTGTGAACATCAAATTCCTCTAACAAGGTTGGCCTAACATCTGCAAATGTTATCAATTTTCTTCCTGGTTCAGGTTTCAATGCCTTGTGCTTAATCAAATTGCCAACGATCTTGTTCAGATCATTGTCAATTAATGCTTGAACATGCCTCCCAGAACCTTTAATCACTTGACAGATTGAATCAAAGCTGAACATCAGCTTCTACACAATAGGAAGGATTTACAAAACCGATTAATCACTGCTCTATTGCTTGAATTGGGACCAAAATTTCTAGCAACATTCTTCAAAAGTTTGTTGTAGTAATGCTCTAATGCAAGGTCCAGAGGTATGTTTCCACCATTTCCCAGTTTGTTTTTGGGAAAACGGTTCCAAATCAGACAATGTGCATCTCTGGGCAATAAAAGTGCATCGATCTGGCACAGCGAATAATGCTTCAAGGGCATATTTCCTGCTGCAGGCTACATCATTTCTCAGGAACAGCAATATGGATTTGCAACAGCGTAGGAACTGTTTTCCATTGCCTTCTGAAATGGCATCAAAAAACAATGTAATTACCATTCCAATGTCAAGTAGTGCACACTGGTAATTGAAAAAATCATCTTCCAGTTTTTCTTTATGATTTGTTGCATTAGCCTTATGTAAACCATGAACTTTGTCATGCTGCATGCACCTGACACCATCAAATTTAAAAGAAGCATGTCAACATTTCTGCTGACAAACAAACAGAACATGTGCGTGCGTTGATCAAATTTGTCTCGATGAGCCAATCTTCATATGTCTGGCGTTTTTCTAGAATGCTATTGCTTTTTTCTGGACAATAAACCTGTCTACAACCTCAGCAGAAAATCTGTGCAAGAACTCTTCTTTTTCTCTTTGGCTTAATTTGGAGATATCATCCACACAAGATGATGGTTCCTTTGGGGAGTTGATTTTAAGAGCTTATAGAGGCTTTTTAAGATATCTCTATACATGAAATAAATTGAACGAACTCACCGCTTGAAAATTCAATCAATAAACAAATCTTTCATTTCTCTATCTCAATTTCATTCCTCGATCCTTACTAACTCTACTATCACACCCCATAACAAAACTAACATCAACTAAACTGTTTCCATGGATATCAGTTAATGTGCAGTGCAATTAGAAACAACAAAGAGTATTTAAAATGCGTTAAAACAATCTTAATTATGTGTGAACAATAAGAGGACGTGAAAATGCATATAAACAGAATACTAATGAGAACGGTTAACCACAGAGCTCCCCCCTAGAGAGCTAGTGCGATAAAGCGAACGATAAATGTCATAATTAAGGAAGTGTAAAAGTTGCAAAAGAGTAAACAGCTTTGCAGTTATTTCTTTTAACGAAAACTCCAAAACTATTTAGTAATGTTGTAATGTTTTTCAAAATTTGTTGATATCAAAATGCTTATTAGTTAACCTCACTTTAATAGACCTTGCTAATCATTTTTGACCAATATTAAAGGCTTAGATGTGTAAGAGTATTATCGTTTAAAATTGGGGCATTTACATTTCTCGTGCAAGAAAATTTGAAGCCCCCCCCCCCCCCCCCCCCCCTCTATCTGAGCTCAGCCCATTGACCTATGCGTGAAGCTTGGATATGAGAACATTCTGCAAGGCAAAGATAAAGCAAATGCATGTTGCAACTTCAGAGTATTGATACCAAGGCCCTACACGTCTGTGATACCTTTAATTCCATAAATCTGTCTTTGCAATCTCCCTTCCAATCTACATATCCTAGAGCCAAAAGGTACAGCTTCTTATTGTCTCAAGATCATCTTG